TGTAGGTGAGAATGGTTCAAGTCTCTTCCTCTAATATCCTGTGGTCTTATTAAGTAGCTAGAAGTTTGTGATTTCAGAGATGTGATACATGTAGACTATGAGAAATACTCATATTTGCGTAATTGGTTGCTAACATCAGGTATCTATGGAAACAACTATCCATTAGCATTCATGATAGGACATTTATTCTTTCCACTCTGTGTGATCAACACAATGGTGGGTATAGTGCTCCACGTATGATGGCTTCTTGCAACACCTACTATAAAAATTGGATTTCTTTTGACCATACTGGGCTGTATTAATTTACATTCCCACCAACAGGGTATATGAATTCCTCTTTCTCCATGTCCTTGCCAGCATTTGTTATCTTTTGTCTTTTCTACAGTAGACGTTCTAATTGGGATGAGGTGATATCTCATTGTGGTTTTCATTTCCATTCCCCAGATGATTAGTTATGTTAAATTATTTTTTCATATACTTGTTGGTCATTCATACTTTTTTTTAGAGAAATATCTATTTAGATCTTTTGCCCATTTTTAAATCAGATTATCTGTTTTTCTGTTATTGAGTTATTTGAGTTTCTTATATATTCTGGGTATTAACACCTTGCCAAGTGTATGCTTTTGGCACCTTTGTGGAAAATCAGTTGGCCATAAATGGTGGATTTATTTCTAGGTTTTCAAATCTATTCCATGGGTCTACATGTCTATTTTTATGCCAGTACCATGCTGTTTTAGTTACTATAGCTTTGCTGTATATTTTGAGGTCAGGTAATGTGATGTCCCCAGCTTTGTGTTTTTTTTTTTTTTTTTTGCTCTAGATTGTTTGGCTATTCAGGATCCTTTGTGGTCCCATATGAATTTTAGAATTTTTTTTCCTATTTTTGTGAAGAATGTCATTGGTAGTTTGATAGAGATTACATTGAATCTGTAGATTGCTTTAGGTAGTATGAGCATTTTAACATTATTAATTCTTTCAATCCATGATCATGGGATATCCTTCCATTTATTTGTGTCCTTTTCAATTTCTTTCATCAATGTTTTCTAGTTTTCATTGTAGAGATCTTTTACCTCCATGGTTAAATTTATTCCTAGGTACTTTATTTATTTATTTATTTTTGTTAATGAGTTTTTTTCTTGATTTCTTTTTCAGGTAATTTGCTGTTAATGCATAGAAACAATGCTAACTTTTATATGTTGATTTTGTATCCTGTCACTTTGCCAAATTCAGTTATTCATTCTAATTGTTTTTTGGTGGCATCGTTAGGCTTTTTAATATATAAGATTATATTCTCTGCAAGCAGGTACAGTTTGACTTTCTCCTTTCAATTTGGATGTACTTTATTTCTTTCTCTTGCCTGATTGCTCTGGCTAGGACTTCCAGTACTATGTTGGATAGAAGTGGAGAAAGTGAGCATCCCTGTCTTTTTCCAGTTCTTAGAGGAAAAGCTTTCAACTTTCCCCTTTCCAGTATAATGTTAGCTGTGGGTTTGTCACATATGGCCTTTATTATGTTGAGGTACATTTCTTCTATATCTAATTTGTTGAGAGTTTTTATTGTGACAGGAAGTTGAATTTTATCAAATGCTTTTTCTGCATCTATTGAGATGATCATGTGGTTTTTGTCTTTGATTCTTTTAATGTGATATATCATTTTTATTGATTTGCATTATGTTGAACCATCCTTGCATTCCTAGGATGAATCCAGTTTGATCACAGTTAATGATCTTTTCAATGTGCTGTTGAATTTCATTTGCTAGTATTTTGTTGTGGATTTTTGCATCTGTGTTTATCATGGATATTGGCCTATAGTTTTCTTTGTGTGTGTGTGTGTGTGTGTGTGTCCTTGTCTAGTTCGGTATTAGAGTAGTGCTGGCTTCAAAGAATGAATTTGGAAGGATTCTGTCCCTTTCAATGTTTTGGAATAGTTTGAGAATAATTGGTATTAGTTCTTCTTTAAATATTTTGTAGAATTCAGCAGTGAAATCATCAGGTCCTGGGCTTTTCTTTGACAGCGGACTTTTTATTAGTGATTCAATCTTCTTGTTTGTTATTGGTCTGTTTGGGTTTTCTATTTCTTCATGATTCTCTATTGGTTGGTTGTATGTGTCCAGGAAAAATTAAAAATAGAACTACCATGTGACCCTGCAATCCCACTATTGGGTATGTATCCAAAGAAAATGAAATCTGCATGTTGAAGATACATCTGTACTCTCATGTTTATTTCAGCAGTATTCACAATAGCCAAAATATGGAATCAACCCAAGTGCCCATCAACAGATGAATGGACTTTAAAATATGGTATATATACTATTCAACTATAAAAAGGCTGCCACGGTGGCTCATGCCTGTAATCCCAGCACTTTGGGGGGCCGACAAGGGTAGATCACCTGAGGTCAGGAGTTCGAGACCAGCCTGGCCAGCAGGTAAAACCTGTCTCTACTAAAAATACAAAAAAATTAGCTGGGTGTGGTGGTGGGCACCTGTAATCTTAGCTACTTGGGAGGCTAAGGCAGGAGATTTGCTTGAACCTCGGAGGTGGAGGTTGCAGTGAGCCAAGATCGCGCCATTGCACTCCAGCCTGGCTAACAGAGTGAGACTTCACCTAAAAATAAATAAATAAAATAAAAAGGTGAAATCCTGTCATTTGTGACATGTGAATGAAACTGGAGGCCATTATGTTAAGTGAAATAAGCCAGGAATAGCAGGACAAGCACCACATGATCTCACTTATATATGAAATCTGAAACAGCCAGTCTTGTAGAGGTAGAAAGCAGAATAGTGGTTATCAAAGGTTGGGGAAGGGAGGAGGGAGAGGAGATGGGGAAGGGGAGATGGGACTGGTCAATGGATACTATGTTACAGTTAGATAGGAGGAATATTCTTCTGGAGTTCAATTGCACAGCAGGGTAACTATAGTTAACAATAATGTATTGTATATTTCAAAATAGCTAGAAGAGAAGATTTTGAATGTTCTTACCAGGAAGACATAATAAGTATTTGAGATTGTGGGTATGCTGATTACCTGGATTTGATCATTACCCAATGTATGCATGTATCAAAACATCACATTGTACCCCACAAATATGTGTACCTATTATGTGCCAGCTAAAAAGAAAACAAAAAAACTGACTTTCCTATGCCCATGAGAGAAGCAGATGTATACCTGCTCTTCCTGCAGCCTTGAGCTCACTCTGAAACTGATGGTCCTATTCCACAAAACCTCACAATTCCTTTTCTCAGATATTTGTACAAGTTTTGTGTGTTTAAAGTCATCTCTCACCAGTGGTTTTATAAGCTCAAAGGCAAGTTTTTTTGAAAACTTTATCTTGTATTCTTTTTTCATTTGAGACAGGGTCTCATTCTGTTGCCCAGACTGAAGTGCAATGACTCTGCAATCACAACTCACTGCAGCCTCAAATTCCTAGGCTCAGGTGATTCTCTCACCTCAGCCTTCCAAGTAGCTGGGACTACAGGCATGTGCCACCACACCCAGCTAGTTTTTGTATTTTTGTAGAGATGGGGTTTCACCATGTTGTTCAGGCTGGTCTCCAACTCCTGGAATCAAGAGATCCACTTGCCTCTGCCACCTCAAGTGCTGGGATTACATGCGTGAGCCATTGCACCTGGCTGTCTTATATCATTTTTGTCTTTCTACTCAGGTTTTACTTTAACATAAAAAGTTTGCATTTTGGAAGGATTTTGGATTTTGCATTTTGGAAGGAATTGTGAAAGTTCTCAGAGATGAGTGGTAGATTTTCTCCAGTATGAATGTACCCTCTTCATCCCTGGTGGGAGATAGTTTCTCGGGCATGGTGAAGGTTCCTGAAAGCCTTGGCTTTTTGTTTTGTTTTGTTTTGTTTTTAATTTACAAACGAAGCTGGATAGCTTATGCCAAGAATAAGCAAACTTTCTTTTGGCGGTTGAGTCAAAAGATGGGAAAAGCCCTCACTTTCTCTTTTTATTTTTTATTTTTATAATATTTTTATTACAATATAGCCCATATTTCTCTTTCGCTTGTTTTTCCTGTCTTCAGAATTTTAATCTGGTGTTCCAACATATCTTAACTAAAGAAAATGACATTCTAGTTTAGTTTTTTTTTTTTCATTTTTTATAACTCTGTATTGTTTGTTTAACACCTTGCATGTGCCATTTACTTTTTATTCATTTATTCTTTATTGAAAATAAATACTTGAGCCCTCAAGTATTTACCTGGCAACATAAATACATGGAGTTATCCTGGTGACTGAGGCAGGTCCATTTTCTGCCCAGGCAGGGCTTACTGTCTAGGGTCACAAAAAACAAGTCACCGATGGTCAAGCACAGTGCATACCACACAGGGCAGGTGAAATCTCAGGGGAGGAATGTGTAGCTCTGACTTGGAGGCCAGAGAAATCAATGTGGAGGAAATAACATGTAAACTGAGATGGGAAAGATAAGCGGGTGTTACAGCAGAGTGCTCAGAGATGGGAAGAAAGTTTCAAGTCAGGGCACAGCATGTGGGAGGGTGTGGGGTGCCTGAAGTCCTTGCAGAGAGAAAACTTAAAACTGCTTTTATTCTCGCTCAGGTTTCAAAGAAAATCCTTGCAGTATTTGCCTTCAGTTTAGCTTTACCAACTCAAAACCAGAAGGACAATGCAAGTTCTGGGCATGCTTACCAACACAAGTCATTCTGCCCTGGAAGAGTAGGTTAGGCATTGTCCGGAGTTTGCCAAGGGGCTGTGTTCATTAACATCCTCCTTGAACTGTTCATGGATGCCTGTGGAAGCAAAGAATTGCAGATGGGAAGTAATGTAGAATTCATCTTTACTGTGAAAAGGGCTACTCTTGACACAGGGCAGTGGGCCGTCTGAGCTGAGGCACGCAGGAAAGTCAAGAACAGAATGTTTCCTTCTGGAAGCATTAGCAGCAGCAGCAGCTTGAGCTTGGACTGTGTGTCCTGGCTTCCTTTGGAATGCTTTAGAAGTCAGAACCCGCTAATGTCCACTTGTCTCTCTGGAGGTCATGATTGTGGTTGGCGGCCAGGCACCCAAGGCAATCCGCAGTGTGGAATGCTATGATTTCGAGGAGGACCGGTGGGATCAGATTGCTGAGCTTCCCTCCAGGAGATGCAGAGCAGGTGAGCAGCCCTGTCTCCCACTTCTGCAAGCTGTTTTCCCCTGCTGGTCCCCAATCCATGCCGGAAGTCATGAGCTACTCCTTGTTTCCTCAAGCATCTGTGCATTTCAGGCTCCCATTCTTTTCCCTCCTGCAGCTTTATTATTTTTTTTGCAGACAAGAGACAAGTGAACATTTATTTTTGTACCTTTCCGCCTATGTGTATTTCAAGTCTTTTTCACAACAAGGCCCCGGGAATCTCCAGATTCTATTATGTCCCTGGGCTTGTCCACTGCTGCAGGAGTCTTAGGGTGCCTCATACAAATGCTAGAGTTACTAATTACCAACATTAAACCATAGGATAGGAGATGCAGCAAAGCAGACTCTTTCCTCCATGGAATGTGCTGATTTCAGACGAGGTGGCAGCCAATGTAGAAAACGCCAGAATTTTTCCTGGAACTGGACTGTGATGAGAGGTGCTTGCCATGAACATAAGCTACTGCTTTTTCTTTTCTTTTTTCTTTTGAGATGGAGTTTCACTCTTGTTGCCCAGGCTAGAGTGCAATGGCGTGATCTTGGCTCACCGCAACCTCCGCCTCCCAGGTTCAAACGATTCTCCTGCCTCAGCCTGCCGAGTAGCTGGGATTACACAGGCATGGGCCACCATGCCCCACTAATGTTTGTGTTTTTAGTAGAGACGGGGTTTTGCTATGTTGGTCAGGCTCATCTCGAACTCCTGACCTTAGGTGATCTGCCCTCCTCAGCCTCCCAAAGTACTGGGATTACAAGTGTGAGCCACCATGCCCGGCCAGCTACTGTCTTTCCTTTGACTCTTCCTTTCCAGTTTTTGAAGATAAAGCAGGAAACAATCTTCTCTGAAGATACTTGATACAAATTCTCCAAAACCCAAAAACACATGCTTCCACATCATTGATAAAAATTCACTGCAGTTTGGCACCTGGTTCTAGTTCAGCTGGCAGATGAGCTGATTGATGTATTTACCCCGATAGCCAGGTGTGCCATCTCTTTGAGGAAGTTCACTCTATTTTTGGTAGCATGATGGGCTGCTGAGAGGTGGAAAGGGAGCAAGAACCACGAGATCTCCTGGAAATGCTTTCCCGGGAAGGCAATTTCATGAATGAGGTCTTCCAAGCAAATGATGCCAAACTTCCCCAGGTGTTCCTTGATCACTGTGTTGTCTGTCAGAGGGATGGTCTTATTCTTGACCTTGGCTTGTCCATGTTTCAAAATGAGCTCCTGGACAGACTTCAGTTTTAGAAATCCCCAGGTCACATAAGGTTCCACTATATGCAACATTTTTAGGTTCTGGCAGGTGACTTTTACAAAGACACCATGAAAAAATTTCTCTAGGCGAAGTCTTGCAATGGTTCTCTGCACCAGTAAACTCAAGTCATCCATCCTTTTGATGCATATAACAAATGCCAAGGAATGTTTATCTGGCGATTCCAAGGCATGAGGTTTCTCTTCTAGTTATCTGACATGCCCCTTGTCACGTGTCTGCCACCAGGAATCGTGTAGGAATGATTCCAGTTGCTTAAACCTGTGCCCTTTTCCTTTCCTCCTTCTTTGCCAAAAGTGCCTGAGTGGCTTTGAGGGCTTGATAGCCTTTCCTCTTTTTCAGGAGATTTTCTGGAACCAAAGGGATTTTTCTTTGCTCTTGCTCTGCCATCTTTCCATTGTAGCAGCTACTGACCATCTATTTTTTTTTTTTTTTCTTAAGACAAGAGTTTTTCTCTGTTGCCCAGGTTGGAGTGCAGTGTCATGATCTCAGCTCACTGCAACCTCTGGTTCCTGGGTTCAAGCGATTCTCTCACCTTAGCCTCCTGAATAGCTGGGACTACAGGTGCGCACCACCACACCTGACTAATTTTTTTGTTTTCAGTAGAGAGGGTTTTCACCATGTTGGCCAGGCTGGTCTTGAATTCCTGATCTCAGGTGATCCACCTGCCTTGGCCTCCCAAAACACTGAAATTATAGGCATGAGTTACTACACCCGGCCACCTGCACAGTTTTTGGCTTTTTTGGGGTCAGTTCTTATGAGCTTGGTGAGTTAAAGCTAATTCAAGTATTCACTTGAATCAGACAAAATTTGAAAGTGAATAGGAAAGAAATCCAGTGAATCCCATAATGACTGCCAAATATCTAAAGTATCTTCTGTGGTGGCTTTTTCTATGTCTGTCTTGCTCCTCATTGTCATCCATCAACATGAGCAGTCATGTGCCTGACCTGACCTTGATGTCTTGGTTTCCTGTGCCTCAGGTGTGGTGTTCATGGCTGGCCACGTGTATGCTGTGGGAGGGTTTAATGGCTCACTGCGGGTGCGGACAGTGGATGTGTATGACGGCGTGAAGGACCAGTGGACATCCATTGCCAGCATGCAGGAGCGCCGGAGCACGCTGGGTGCGGCAGTGCTCAACGACTTGCTCTACGCGGTGGGAGGCTTTGATGGCAGTACTGGTAGGTTCAGGGTGTGTTCCCAACCCCTCCCAGCCTGGGACACATCCTCCATGCAACCCTGTTTTATTCAGCCAGTTCTGGACTAACTTTCTGTCTGTTTGTAGCTACTGCCCCAGGGACATACTCACCCTTCTTCCTCAACCAGCTTTGTGGGGAAGAGCCAGGCCTTCTTCCACACAGAATATGTAACCGCCCATGTACTAGGCTTTCTAGGACCTCACACTCAGAGTCCCTTTCCTACTTTCCAGTGTATAGGGACCTATTTACTCAGAAGATGAGACTTAGAAGGAGAGCATGCTTAGCTGGGAGTGGGGTGGGGCATGCATCAGACCTCCAGTTTGAACCCTCTGCTGGACAGGTGAGGGAGCTGAGTTTGGCACTTGGAAGAGACCTGGCTCAGGTCACGCAGTGGGCCAGGCTGCCCATTTTTTCTGTTGCCCTTTCTATGACCCCACTGAAGCTTTGCCAGTGGGGTTTCACCATAGGTGAGTCTCCTTGCCTCTGGATTCTACCTAGCTTTGAAATTTCAACCTGAAAGCAATAGTGGACATAAACTCAGAGAGGTGATCTCATCTCTACTCATACTGCCAGGTAGATGTCTCTGCAGACAGTAGCTCTATTAAACTGATATGATCTACTTTGGCCCCCAGGGAGGTGAAAAGCAGTCTTTTTTACTTCTCTGAGTTTTATTTGTGTCTTCACAACTTGGGGACTTTTCTCAGCCTTCTCTTTGCCTCACTTATATCATTCCAGGGTCTTTAGCCCCTCTGGAGGCTGCCTTTAGTGAGTGTGACAAAGAGAACAAAAGGGTAATGGAGCATTGTTTCTTTTAGGAATTACTTTTGGCTATTAGTAGAGAACCTGATTAAACTGTGCCTCAAAACATGAGGGTTTTGCTTTACTCTTGAAACAAGAAGCCTAGAGGTTAGCAGTTGCTGAGTTGGTCCAGTGGCTCATGGACATTGAGGCCACATTCTTTAAGATTCTCTTGGCCTTTTTCTCATGATTGTTAGGATGGCCATTATAGCTCCAGCCAACACCTTTGTGTTCCAGGTAAAAGCAAAGGCTATTTCCGAAATCCACGTAGACTTCTGCTTAGGTCTCATTGACTTGGCCACCCCTAGCTGCAAGGGAGTCTTGGAAAGCAAGTGTTTAGCTTTCCACTGCTAAGGTAGAGGAAGTTGGGGTGAAGGGGATTGGAACAGGTGTTCAGTGAGGCTACCTCAGGTGTCTACTTGGAATCAAAGTATTGCACTCTGCAGTTTTTATGGTCTACATTTGCCATGCATTTCAGGTACACCCCTTGTCCTTTCACAGCCCACCCTCTGAGAAAAGTCTTAATAGTCCCCGCAGGTAGACACTGACGATGTGTTTCAGGGAGTTTCCACAGGTCGCATGGTGATGCAGAGGTGGCACCGAGCCATACATTTAGGTTTCGAGCCCCTGCATTTGGACTCCTCCCCCATCCTCACTGCTTCTCACACAGCAGGGTGAGGCCTGGTGCCACGGAAGTCTCATGAGTCTCTTGTCTCCCAGGCCTAGCATCGGTGGAAGCCTACAGCTACAAGACCAACGAGTGGTTCTTTGTGGCCCCGATGAACACGCGGCGGAGCAGTGTGGGTGTGGGCGTTGTGGAGGGTAAGGAGGTGGCAGTGGCCAGTGGTCAGGCCTACCTGGCCCACGGGCCTTGTCCTGGGTCCAGTATTGTGCTTGGTGCTTCCCTCTATCTTGGTTTATTCTTGAGATCACTCCTCTGAGTTAGGTACTATTATCCCAATTTAACAGATGAGGAAAGTTGAGACTCAGAGAGGTGGTGGAACTCCTGGCCCAAGGCTGCTAAATGGTGGAGCTGGGCTGGGGGTATAGAAGGAGCCCAGAGGGGAAATGTCAGCCTGTGGTTTGGCCCCTTGTTAGTAGCTCTGTTAGAGGTTGGGGAGGGGAAGAGAGTAGGGAATTCATCGTCAGCATATAACCCAGGAGGATAATGTAGTGGAGCGAGAGTTAATTGCATTAATTAATTTTGTCCTCATATTCATATGTTGAACATTAACAGAACTGTGAGTGAGGTAGGCACCTCTTTTTAGGTCTGATGACTGTCTCTGCAGGGCAGGCTGGTGATCAAGGCCAGCTCTAGTCAGGAAAGCTATGTGGGGTAAGGCAGGAGGGAGTGGTGAGGTCTAAGGCCTGGTCAGATGGTACACTTTTGTTTGTAAAAAACTCTCACATCTAGTCTCTGGTTTGCAAAACCCTTATGAAGGAGACAGGCAGGACTCGGATTTCCTCCATCTTCCGGATGTCCCACATTCCGATTATAGTAAATAGCATAGCCTGTCCTTGAACCCAGGGGTCTTTCGACTCCTAAGCTGGTGCTCTTTTCACTGTGCTATGCTCCTTCAGAGTGCTGACAAATGCCAGTAGGTAGGAGTTCTATAAATATGTGTGAATTCAGTGTACCAAAGCATACAATATTATTTGAACTAAAATGTTACCATTTGCATGACAACACTGATTCATCAACCTGTACTGATGTGGGAATTTAGATGGAGTATCTGTTTATTCAGACGTGTGCAGACATTCCATCTCTCATGTACACACTCAAGAATCCACATGCAAACACAAATGTACCCTAGGGAAAGCATAACATCCGGTGAGTTAGACATTCATAGAAAGATTCTTTGCTTTCGTTGCATTTCTCAGTCTGCACTGGTATTGTGTAATTTAAGTTTTCATTTAAAGGTATACTATTCTGGCCAGGCGCAGTGGCTCACACCCGTAATCCCAGCACTTTGGGAGGCTGAGGTGGGCGGATTACCTGAGGTCGGGAGTTTGAGATCAGCCTGACCAAAATGGAGAAACCCCATCTCTACTAAAAATACAAAATTAACCTGGTATGATGGCACATGCCTGTAATCCCAGCTACTTGGGAGGCTGAGGCAAGAGAATTGCTTGAACCTGGGAGGTGGAGGTTATAGTGAGCTAACACCATTGCACTCTGGCCTGGGCAACGAGAGGGAAATTCTGTCTCAAAAAAAATAAATAAATAAAATAAGGTATACTATTCCAACATACTAAATAAGTCATCTTTGTGAGGGCAAGGATTTTGTCTTCCTACCAAGGTAAATTGTGTCTTGCAATCTCATTCTCTTGGTGGAACAGAAATTGATTTGTCTGCCACGTATAAGTGCTTTGTCTAGCCACCTTCTCCTTTCTTCTCTTGTTCCTTAGCCAGGAATATCAAACAATAGAGTAGGGGTTAAAAATAGCAAATCCCTGTTAATAGACTCCAGGAGGAACCTTGAGTGGGTATTTTTTCAGCTGATGCAGATGGAATGGTTGCTGGGTGTTAGAGGAGGTGCCATAATGGTGATAATTTAAAATATCCCCCTTGACAAAGGCTTTTGTGAGCATGTTCTGTATCTGGAAGAAGTGCTGTCTTGTAGCATGCCCTGTTGACATAGAAGACAGGCTGGGGATTTGTTTCTTCTGCCCTTCCTGAATCTGAAGCTCTTTCGGCTGAGGGTTACCCTGGGGCAGCAGAATCCAATTGACAGCTGTAGTGAGAATTGGAGGGAGGAACTTAAGTGGACTCTGTCTGCTTCACTGTGGCCTTGAAGAGACAGCTCTCCGCACTGTCTGGCTTCCTCTCCTCCCTCTCATCATCTCATTACCATGGCAATACAGTTTGAATTACACTGAAAAAAAAAATATGGAGGAAATCACAATAATTTGCTACTGGCTGCCTCGAAGAATACCTACTTAGGAAAAGGACTGTGTGGATCGGAGTGTAGACAGAAGCTCCCCAAGAGAGCGGAGAGTGTGCTATGGAGATTGTCGCATCTGAATCAGAATACACCTTACAAGTAGCCTGGACCCTAGAAGAGCTGCTTAGTCAGGTTTAAAAAAAAATTTTTGACTTGACGAGTGCAGAACTTAGGAGGACATGTTTCTTTCTTTTAGTTGGGTCAATTGAGAGGAACTTGGGGCAGAAAACAAAGCCAGGCTTGATGATGATAGAAGAAAAACATTTATGGACTGGACACGATGGCTCACACCTATAATCCCAGCGCTTTGGGAGGCCCAGGCAGGTGGATCACGAGGTCAAGAGATCAAGACCATCCTGTTCAACATGGTGAAACCCTGTCTCTACTAAAAATAAAAAAATTAGCTGGGCATGGAGGCCTGTGCCTGTAGTCCCAGCTACCTGGAAGGCTGAGGCAAGAGAATTGCTTGAACCCGGAAGGTGGAGGTTGCAGTGAGCCAAAATTGCAGCACTGCACTGCAGCCTGAGGAACAGAGCAAGTCTCTGTCTCAAAAAAAAAAAAAAAAAAAAAAAAAAGCAAAACATTCTTACATTTGATAGTGCAGCAGTAGTTCTGGTAGCAGAGCATAGGTTTGTGCCTGAGAATCTTTCTAACTTAAAATAATTGCAGATTTTCAAATACCAGTTGCATTCTTGGTTTCTGTCCATTAAGAAAGCACATATGACCAAAAAATCTACTGAGTAAGTAATCCTGTTAAGTGGATTAGCATTTAACAATATTTATTTAGTCTACAGCTAGTGTGACTCCTCCCCCTGTTCCCACAGAAGAGACCATCCCATTACATTTTAAGACTAAATTTAAAACCCCAAATATTTGAATTTCTGCTTTGGGATAGCTCAAATGGCAAAGTTTTCCTCCTGTGTCCAACCTCACTCTCAGCCCTCAACCCCAGGCAGAAATGATGCTCTTGGATATAGCAGCTTAATGGTGTTTTAATTTAAAAGTAGATGATGGTACCTCAGGGTTCTTGTTCAGAGGTCACAGGGTAGTCTGCAGAAAAATTCCAGCCACCTTGGCTCACAATGTACAGAAAACTCTCCATTCACACAGTCTACCTGCCAGGGTTGTAGAAAGAGTAGAAACAATGGTTAAGACAGGTTTTGGGTTCTCATTGAAGAATATTTTTCCGTATTTACTTTATCTGCTATTTCGATCCTTCAGCTAGAAAGGTGGTCTGCCTGCCTATAGCTGGGGGCTTTCTAGCTTTCCATCCATCCGGTGCTGGTGTCTTGTTGTAGAGGAAATTTAACCTAATTCACCAGCAAGATTATGTTGAGCCCCAGTGGTGCCAAGCCATAGCTTTGTGTTGGATATTTGGGGGTACTTATTTAGAAAGATGTTCAGTGTTTGCTTCTAAGGGGCTCATGGCCTAAGAGCAAGTAGAATATGTGAAGAAATGTGAAGGATGCTTTGTGTTGTTGAGGAGTAAGTTGGTGGTCCCCTGAATAAAGGGGGCCCAGAATTCTGAGGTAAGGGTGCCCCAGTTGGTTATAGATAGGGTTTCAGCTGAGCTCTGGTTTCATGCCAGTGTCCCTGGCACCACACTCAGTCACTTTGTCTGTTGCAGGGAAGCTGTATGCTGTTGGGGGTTATGATGGAGCTTCCCGCCAGTGTCTTAGCACTGTGGAGCAATACAACCCAGCGACCAATGAGTGGATATACGTGGCAGACATGAGCACCCGCCGCAGTGGCGCAGGTAGGGGGGAATCTTGGGGTCCCGGCTGTGTCCGATTTGCCCACAAGTGGGTCTTTAAAATATTTTTGGTTTTATTTTAGATTCAGAGGGTACATGTGCAGGTTTGTTACATGGATATGTTGGATAATGGTAGGGTTTGGGCTTCTAGTGTACCCATCACACAAATAGTGACCATTGTACCCAATGGGAAATTTTTCAACCTTCATCCTCCTCCCAGCCTCACCCCTCCCAGTGTCAGTGGTTCCCATCTTTATGTCCATGTATATCCCTTATTTAGCTTAAACTTATAAGTGAGAACATGCGGTATTTGATTTTCTGTTTCAGGGTTATCTCACTTAGGATTATGGCCTCCAGCTGTATCCCCATTGCTACAAAGGACATGATTTCACTCTTTTTTTTGGCTGCATAATATTCCATGGTGTATCCATACTATATTTTCTTTAATCAACCATTAGTGGATACTTAGCTTGATTCCATGACTTGGTATTGTCAGTAGTGCTGTTTTAAACATACAATTGTATGTCTTTTAATGATTTCTTTTCCTTTGCATAGCGGGATTGCTGGGTCAAATGGTAGTTATATTCTGAGTTTTTTGAGAAATCCCCATACTGTTTTCCATAGAAGTTGTATCAATTTATATTCCCACAACAGTGATAAACATACTCTTCTCTGCAACCATGCTAACATCCAGGGTTTTTTTTTTGACTTTTTAATAATCACCATCTGACAAGTATAAGATGATATCTCATTGTGGTTTTAATCTTCATTTTTCTGATGATTATGATGTTGAACATTTTTTCATATGTTTATTGGCTACTGGAAAGCCTTATTTTGAGAAATATCTGTATGTATGTCCTTTGCCTGCTTTATAATGGGGTTGTTTTTTCCTTGTTGAGTTGTTGGAATTCTGAATATTAGTCCTTTGTTGGAGGTATAATTTGCAAATATTTTTCTCCCATTCTGTAGGTTGTCTGTTTACTCTGTTGATTATTTCTTACGCTGTGCAGAAGATTTTTGGTGAATTAAGTCCCTCTTGTCTATTTTTGTTTTTGTTGCATTTGCTGTTAGCATTTTAGTCATAAATTCTTCGCTTAGGCCAATCTCCAGAAGAGTTTTCCATAGGTTTTCATCTAGGACTTTTATAGTTTAGGTCTTCCATTTAAGTCTTTAATCCATCTTCAGTTAATTTTTGTATACGGTAAGAGATAGAGGTCTAGTTTCATTCTTCTGTATATGGCTAGCCAATTTTCCTAGCACCATTTATTGAATAGAGTGTCTTTTCCCCATTGTTTATTTTTGTCAGCTTTGTTGAAGATCAGCTTGTTGTAGGTATGTGGCTTTGTTTCTGAGTTCTCTATTCTGTTCCATTGATCTCTTTCTGTGTCTATTTTTGTACTGGTATCACGCTGTTTTAGTTACTATAGCCTTGTAATCTAATTTGAAGTCAGGTAATATGATACTTCTGCCTTTGTTCTTTTTGGTTAAGATTGGCTTTGGCTATTCAGGCTCGTTTTTGGTTCTATATAAACTATATATATAAATCTATATAGGATTGTTTTTTCTAATTCGATAAAGAATTATGTTGATAGTTTTATAGAAATTTTGTTGAATTTGTAGATTTCTCCAGGCAGTATGGTCATTTTAATGATACTGATTCTTCCAATCCATGAGTATGGGATGTTTTTTCATTTATTTGTGTAATCTGTGATTTATTTCATCAATCATAAGTAGGTATTGGTTCAACAACTTAACATTTTATTTTACCTCCTTCTTCTTTCCTTTTGCTGTATATAATCCCACTGTCACCTTTGCAGCTAGACACAGCACTTATCAGTTAACCTTTCCTGGGGGATCACTAGAGAATGGATGAGTTAATACTCTCCTTCTCACCATCCCTTATATGTCTATGAAGGTGTTTACATCTTTTGAAAGTGAAGGCTTACTATGTGCCAGGCACTGTCCTAACAAGTACTTTTTGTGTCTCAATCCATTTAATTCTCACTGCAGCCCTACAAGGTGGATACAATATGAATTCCACTTATCAGATTTAGAAAGTAAGTCTGCCAGTGGTTGAATAATTTGCCCAGGGTCATATAATTAGTAACTAGCAATATCAGGATGCTGACTCCAGAGTTAGCTTTTTAAATCCCTAAATTATCAGCCTCATTTCTCTGAAGTAGTAGGACAAGTCTTCAGTTGGCAAAGCTGAGCTTGCCTGTCTGGGATTGAAAGTCAAGCTATTAGTGTTCTTGTTTGGAGATAACTTATGTCCCCTACTCCCACTTTTCCTCGCTTCAGCCCACTCCCCAACATGGGAAGAAAATGTCTTTCCAAAAGGTTTTTCACTTTTACTTCTTGTTGGAAGACCAGAAGATCTGTGGTACTTTGGGATTTTTCAGGGAGTGGAGCAACAGCTCCTTCTCCCCTGCTTCGCCTTCCCATTCATTGTCTCAGAGGCCCAAAGGGAAGGGTCTGAGAGGGCAGACAGAGGCATCTGTCCACTGGCTCTTTACTGCTGGTTCCTGTGGTCAGCGGTGACTAATTACCAATCTGATCCTGGCGGGAAGGTTGTGTGACTTCTGAGAAGGGAAGCCACATTCCCGCAATGTTACTCCTTTTTCTCTCTTTTTTTTTTTTGTATTTTTGCAGATTGAGTTGTGATCTCATTTTATAGTAGCAAACATATGACCACTTCCTCAGCATTCCTTAAAAAGTATGTGATTTTAATATTTTCAAAGAACCTTTGTGTACTCACTTGGTTACAAAAATAAAATCTGCGTGATTCCATTTAAGAAGCATTTGAGTTTGGAGTGCTATTTTTAGGGAGTTTTTGTCTCTCCTGATTCTGACAGGTGGGCCCTTCCTGAATGTGGAGCCATTGCCTGGAAGTCAGGAGGCCTGGGTCTTGATGCTGGGTCTGCTGTCATTTGTCATGTGACCTTCCTTGGGCAAGTCCCTTCCCTTCTTTCTGGCCCCTAATTCCTTATATGTGAAATGAGTGGGTTGTAGTAGATGTTCCCTAAGAACCAAGTACATCTACAAATCCCATTATTCTTTTCCCATCAGAAACCTCTTTTGGAAATTTTGGTTTCTTTAGAGCCTTCTTCGTACTCCCTAGGAATCCTCTGTTGTGATGTAAGGGGTGAGAGCTCAGCACGCCTGGGGCAGCACACCCTGAGATACGTGGCTGCTCCTAGGGCCGAAAGCCTGGGGAGGCAGCTGGGTGTGGAGCTGCGAGGGCAGACCTGCCTTCGGAAGCTCAGGCTTGTCTCTGTGGAGGGAGCTGCCTTTGGAGGCTGCAGCTGTTTTGTCTCTGCCAAGCTGCTGAAATGGTTATTGCTGGGTGGACAACACCTGGCCCTACTCCTGCCTCTTACCTGCGCTGGAGGACCTGGAGGGTGACAGGTCTGCTGCCTGTGTCCCTAGGAGGCACACTGACCTTGGTTTAGGAAATGAAAACCAAGCCTTTTTCCTGAGATGACTGTCAGAGCCCTGGGCTTAGGCTCCTAGGTCAGCCTTTCTTCAGTGCTTCACTTTCCTAAGATTTGGGCAAGTCTTATCTCTTGAGTTGGGAACCCACATACTAGTCACGGTGGGTGTTCTTGTTGGCTGAAGACCCAGAGACCAAAGGCCCTGGCCTTTGGCTGCCTGAGGCCCTTTGAGCTGCCAAGAGCCCCTGGGGCTCTAGGTCCAGGAAACTGCTGCATGAATGTTTCTGGATGAGGCTGCACAAGGGCAGAGGGAGAGTTGCCCAGGCAGTGGTGCCTGAGTGCCCAGAAGGCAGCTTGCTTCCTCAGCAGGGTGTGGCCAGCGCCACCAGAAGATTAGGGGAAAAAGAGGCCATCTTTCAGGGAATGTGTGTTCCTGCTGAGCTTGGAGTTAAGGAAGGTGAGGCAGCTTTGGAACTCAACTAATTTTATTAAACCTGTTGGTTAGAGAGAGCCATTATTGATACGACAGCACCATCTGCTGTTAGTTTAGAGCAACTGCTAGGAGCCACTAGCATACTGGCATAATTGGTGGGAGGGATTTTATTAATTTGTATTTTTGTCATTCAAGCAGTATCTCTTGAGAACCTACTGCCGTGGGGCACAGGGAAGCAGATGAGGACAAGACAAAAAAAGTCCTCATCCATAGGAAGTTATGGTCTACAAATCTGGCTCTTGGGTCTGAAACCTGGCTGCACATCCCAGTCACCTGAGGAACTTTTTTTGACTCCTGACCAGTGTGGAATCTATCTCAAAAAGCTCCCCACTCAATTGAGATGCAGCCTGTCCATGCAGTGGAGTCATCTGTGGTCCATGGGAACTACTGATCTAGTACAACTCTTCCCCTTTACAAATAGGGAAACTGAGGCCCAGAAAGGTTAAAGGTCACCCAGTGAGCAAGTCAGAGAGACATGTCCAGAACACAGGTGTCCTAGCTACCAGGTCAGTTGCACTTTCTTTCTTTTCTCTTTCTTTCTTTCTTTCTTTCTTTCTTTCTTCCTTCCTTCCTTCCTTCCTTCCTTCCTTCCTTCCTTCCTTCCTTCCTTCCTTCCTTCCTTCCTTTCTTTCTTCTCTCTTTCTCTTTCTTTCTCTCTCTCTCTCTCTTTCTTTCTTTCTGTT